TCAAAACAATATGAAAATGCTATACAAAAGCAGGCAAACCTTTCTTGAACCTTATACAATGTTCTAAGCACTTTTTGTGCCATTGTGCTTTTTTGCTAGAACTTTGAAAAACGCAAGCCACATCACAGGTATTGTACTTCCAAGGGTTATTCAACACTAGATAGCACTGATGGCACCAATTTCGTATCTGTAAAATGAAACTGAAAGATGATTGCACATTTTCCAATATTTTAATTTGAATTACATCATTAAAATGTTCATTTTCAAATTATGTCATAACTCTTGTAATGTTTATTCAAACCAAAAATATCAAAACTAATAACCTTTTTGAAACCTGCACCTTATATTTGAAATCAAAATGAAACACTTTCTGGGTAGCGTCATTCCTACTTAACTCAAAACAAACGCTGTGACTGGCACAATCACCGGTGCGTGCAGAGACTTCAAAGGGTTAAGAGCAAAGTAGAATTATTTGAATGAGGGCGCAGCTTTAGTGAAACACATATGGCCTGGTGGGAAAGTCAACACGTATCCTCTCAAGAGTCTACACTTACGACAAACTGAGCCACATTCATTAGATTTTGCAGCAAAATTATTTTTACTATTAATACTTTCCTGAATATAAAAATAAATCGGCAAGGTCTTGCAGAATAATTTTGCTGGAATAATGTGATGCTTGTTTGTAGCTTTCTTTTTATGAATCATATCTGCAGCCAATTTAAGAGGTGAAACATTGTGTTTAGTACAAAAGTCGAATGTTTAAAATTAATTGATTATTTGGTGAATAGATTTTAAATTATGTGGTACAAAATTCTTAATCGGCTTTGTTTGGACATAAAGCCAGGAGCTCACATAGTACAGCAGGTGCAGAAGCGAATGGGGTCTTTGTTTGGTGACCTCAGGGCCACGCAAGCAGGGCAGAGAAGCTCGGATGTAACCCGTGGTAATGAAATACCAGATGGGTGTCTGCCTGCCCAGCAAACACACAGGAAGTCCTCTGCCAGCATCATGTGGTGTCTTATAATCCAGTGCGTCCTGCCGCGTTGCCCGGGATCTGGCCTGCTGCTTGGGCTTTTATCTTACAGACGTCTCATGAGACGACGCATAGTTCTCCATCATGAAAAAGACTGGCTTCATCTCTGCAGGAGTGATGATGGCCTTTAATCCGTCATCTTCTCATATTCATTATGTGTTTACTTTGAAGAAATCGACCCCTGGAAAAGCAGGAGTGCTGCAGGCCAAGCGTCTCGTCTGAAATAAAGATCCCTGTGTGTCTGTGTTTGGAGATGTAAACTTTAACACCGTTAATGTGTAAAAGTCAGCATAAAGCTCAGCAAAACAGGCTGATGATGGCAACAAACAAAAATATATAAAATGAACAAAACTGATAAAAACATCTTCTTGAGAACGAATTTATGTGGTTTTTAGCTTGTGATTATGTATCTCAAGCTGCTCCACATTTCAGCTGTCAAAGCTGTCTGATGATGTGACTTGATGAATTATGTGAACCTTATCGAGAATGAATGAAACGACCCAGTTTTTGATGTCACCGCACAATAAATGAAAGTCTTTTCCCCCTTCTGGACCTGTGCACAATAATAGCATGTTCCCTCAGATCGATAGTGGAGAGGGTGTTTTATTTAATGCTAGTGGATGAAGTCTTTATGTGTCCTGGATGAACTGTGTCACATCACCAACATCATGTCCATTATACTCTGTAAGATGAAATGAAGCAGTTTAGCCATTAGCATTGTGCTTGCTTGTGGAAATCCAGGTTTTTCTATTGTTTTTGGTTCTGTAATCATCTATTTAGAACATTACACTAGTTTAGAAGGTGTTGTAATCATTTCTGGCTAGTGTGTAAAATACTGTAAACACAGAATACTTAACAGTGTGTAAGTAACACAGGATGTAAAAAATTATAATTTATTTTATTATAATTTATTTTACAATGACCATCATACAGTCAGGAACAAAATAAGCAGGAATAATGTGCTGTCCAGAGCTATAAACGTACTAAACATCCAAAAAGGAATATCCAATGTTTGTCCAAATGTAGTCCCTGAACGCATTGTCAAAAAAAACATACAAAAAATGTCCAATGTTCAATGTCAAATTTTTTATTGTATGCAATTTTCCTTTTTTTGCCATAGGAAACACGTTTTTGTATAAAAAAAAAAAACGTATCACACATTCATGAATAGTATAACACAAGTTTAACACAGTTCTGGGTGTTTTTAACATATGAAAAATGGGATTTAGGTTTTCCTGCAGTAAATTGGAGGTATTGTACTGAGTTACTGAGTTATTTACCGAAGGCTTGTTGTTTCTGTAGTGTGTTTTGGAGTAGTTTTTCCCGGCTCTAACATTTAAGTGGTTTTATAAACATACAAAACCTCTATTTATTCTTCGTAATAAACAAAACAAGCTAAAATCAGTTTAAACCATATTTAAACTACCCCTCCATTAAATGGCAGGGAACACACTGGCATGGATCTCATTATATTTATTTAAAAATCAGGTGAACAGATTATGGCATAGCTGGTAGTCAAGAAATCTGTTTAATTGTAATCTCCAGCATTCTATTGATAGTCTGGCTAAAACTTTAGATGTGATTCATCATTGTATTCATATTTTGGTTTATAAATGAATGTATTCTTGTTGTATTTTAATAATACGTGTTTTAATAATATGTGATCATGCCGTAGTGGCCAACATTATTGGTCTCTATCTTTACTGTTTTTAATGTTTCAGTAGGATCTTCCTACACCTACAGGCTGTAAGTACAGAATGTCCTTATTAGGCAATTTGTATGTCCTAAAAAACATCCCCTAGTGGCACTCTTCAATTCACGTGACTGAAAGATTGAGTTCACCACAACTTAGTAAAAGATTCCCAGCTAAACTTAAGTTTTTTGAAACTAAAACAGTGACTATTCTCACTTAAAAGAACAAAAAACTATGTAGTGCTTAGTGTACAAGAGATTACTAACACAAGAGATTAACTTCAGATCTTTTGCGCTTTAAAATGTGTTAATGCCGATTAAAATAGCTTAAAATGGGGCCTTGGCTATGACAAGTGAATAATGTTTCCCGTCAATAAGAACTGCTGCAAACTCAGATAATCCAGGCTAAACGTTTTAGTGCAAGTGGAACATTTTAGCAGTGTTGAGCTTAGAATGTTGTATATCCAAGGTGAACAGGATGCAAAAATAAAAACTATGATGTAATTAAATCACAGGAGCCAATATTTGACTCACAATAAAACACATAAAGACAATGAAACATATTTTGGGTTCAAAAGGCTCATATTGGTGTCCTAGACATCACCGACAGGCTCAAATGCTCCAAAAGTCAAATAACACCTTTAAAGATGTATCCCCTCCCTCCCCTTGTCCTCCCTCACTGACCCTTGCTGCTACTCACCATCTAATCCCAGGCTCCAGAAGTGGTGCCGGTCCTTCACCCTCCGCACCAAGGGATGTGGTGGCATCGTTGGTGTCCACGCGCTTCATCAAGCTGACCTGGAGGCTTCCTGCGGAGCCGCATGGAGATGATGTCTCATATTCGGTCTACTACAGCCTAGAGGGAACCAACAGGTAGAGTTCACTTTAAAACTATAGAGACATTGATGGACTAATCTTTTTGAAGGAACTTTACAATGTTTCCTTTTGTCTGATTCTTTGAAGAGAGAGGGTGGTGAACACCAGTCGGCCTGGCGAAATGCAGGTGACCATTCAGAACCTCATGCCAGACAGCAAGTACTCCTTCCGCGTGGTGGCACACAATCGAAATGGCCCTGGAGAGAGTTCAGCACCTCTGAGGGTTGACACTCAGCCTGAAGGTAACATCTCATTTAATCTAAAATTACATTGCACTCAATTTATTTTAAATGCAACAAGATGCATCTAGTGTTACAGAACTTATTCTTTGTTTACTCACCGTTTTTGTTGCCCGTGTACGCAACGATTATATAGTTCCATTTCGTACAAGCAGTGTACATAATGTGTTTTTCCTTCAAAATTGCTTCTTTTTCATTAAGGATCTCAAATACGGTGCAGTTCTACACTGAAAGTAAATGCCTTGACTCCATCAATATGACATATAATCCTCCAAGCGCAGTGAGGAAAGGCTGTTTCTGGGTCAGTCTGGCTCCTCTGTGCGCCCTTGGCTCTCAGAGCTGTAAGCACTTTATAATGTGTGTTCACGGGATCCTAGTGCTCTCGGGACTCCTGCTGCGTGGAGATCTGTCTCGAAAGCTGATGCAAGTTATGAATGAACACAAGTCATCTCAGAGAACATAGTTAATCCAGTGTAGGCACCCCTTCTGAAGCTCTAGGAGAGCAGATGTCTGTGAGATGGAGATAAAGCGATTTCTTTGTCTGTCTTTTCAGATTCTGAAATTTGGAAATAAATCAAATGACATCCTACCACGTGAAGCTAACATGAAGTGACTGGAAAGGGAGTTTTACAGTCCCCATGTGGAAATGTTACACCCTGATTATATATTTGATTTTTTTTGGGAGAAGCTATAGAGAAATCTTTGTTATTCATTTTTTGTTATGTCAAGATACAAAGTTAAGAGGATAGATCAAGAAAATTCTGTTACAAAGAATGCTTTCATAATTTGTAGGTCAATGATTAAAAAAATAAAAATCAAATCAACATTTGACCACCCGTTGCCTTTAAAACAACACTTGCACACAGTTTTTAATGGAACTCTTCTCGTAGATCTTCTATGGATGTAGCTTTCTTACAACCTTCTCTCTCTTCACATAATACCAAATACACTTGATGTTGAGATCAGGGCTTTGTGGGGCCCTCCACCACTTCCAATGCTCATTGCATGGAGTAATAAGTATCTGTGCTTATTTCTTAGCATAGAGAACACCAGTAATCCTGAAAAAATCTCCAACTTATTTTTTTTAAATGCACCCCCACATCTTCAAAGAATGTCCACCATGCTTCACAGCTATATTAATCATGGTCAGTTTGTAGGGCTTTCCTGTGGCTTAGGTGGTAGAGCACTGTGCTAACAATGCAAAGGTTGTGGGTTCAAGTCCCAGGAAAAGCTAGAACTGACAAAAATGTGTTCATTCTTTCAAATGTAAGTCACTTTGGATAAAAGTGTCTGCTAAATGTGTAAAGATGTAAATGTATGTTTACTATCTAAAGGTTCCGATTAGTAGTATTTTAGTTAGCATACTTTCCTGATTGGTATTTTTTTGCACTAGCTTTGAACACATTTTTATGTTTTTTGCTTGTTTTTAAGATAATTTTTTCTTTGAATGGAAAGGACATTGGGGAGAAAGGACAATCAGCGTCGGCCCTGCACAACCGCTGTACCATTACATATAAATTAAATTAAAGCCCATTGAGTTGATAAAAGTTTTGGAAACACTATTCTAACAGACAAGAAGGTCATTAGGTTCCTGGTCAATTCCCAGCATCCTTTCCATGCATATGGGTGGTTGACATATAAGCTGGAAAAAATTACTTTTTTGTTTTTTAAACCGTGTCCTGTCCCGCTCAAAAGCCATCACATGGGAGAGTAAATGCTTTGCAGAGTTGGAAAAGTTTTTCTTTCTCCAGGGGAGTAAAACACTTGGTGTGATGTTTTCTCCTCTGGATTGGAGCATTGAATGTATCTAAATCAGGGCTCTAGACTAACTTTTTGCACTGGTTGCACTGGTGCGCCTAAATTTTTTTCTTGGGTGCACCAGCGCAAAAGTTAGGTGCACCCAAATTTTCAACTGCATCACATTTAACACCGCATTTTCACAAGTTCACTTTTTTAAGTTATCTATTT